GGATTTCCTTTGGCCAATTTTAGACTAATTCAGCAAAAGGGCAGTACACTGAATGGCATTTGAACAGACAGGCAGAGAGAGAAGGAAGGAATGTAAGCCAGAACTGTGATGCATCAGCGCATGAAGCCAGACAAATAATACGTTTACAGGCACCAGCTTTTTTTTTTTTGCACTTACCTGTAAGATGAGTAAAAGCAACAATAATGCAAACTGTATTGTAATATAAATAGATTTATGCTCTTCAGACTGAACAGCAGCATTTGATTTGTATCTCCATATTCGCTAATGTGGAATGGCCAACAACATACAGACCACAACCTCCCTCTGTTTCTTGCAAGTTCCCCCCTGCTTCCTGGTGCCACATTGGAATTGTTCCCCAGCAGGCAGGGAGAGGTGATCATTTCCTACTTGAAGGGGTTAGTGGCAGGCTCCCTTCTAGTGCTGGGACCCTGGCATATGTACAATGTTCAGAACCTAAAAAGGTTAGTCAAGAATAGAAGAGGGCCAACTCTAAAAATCTAATTATGAAACATACAAAAATAGACATGTATTTATTCAACATATGTATTTTTGCATATCAGCCAACATGTTCTGTCTGTATTAGACCTCTGAGGAAGGCCTGTAAAGGCCGAAACGCGTTAAGTCTATCTTATTAGCCCTTGTATGTTTTTATATTTGTATATGAGGTAGGAATGGACCCTTGTTTGTTATTTTAATTTATGTTGAATACATACATGTATATTTTTGTATGTTTCATAATTAGATTTTTAGAGTTGGCCCTCTTCTATTCTTAACTAACCTTTTTAGGTTCTGAATTCTAGGTTTAGGTTCAGTCTTTTTCCCTTTTTTCTTCTTTGTCCTATATGTACAATGTTGACAGCTTCCGACACGAAGATTTCTTCTAGAGTAATACCACTCACTTTCTGCAAGCCCCAGTATATAAGTCATAAAGAATTTCTGTTACACAGACACTTACTGCATGCGCCACAGGTAAAGCATCCGTCATGGTAGAGATTCCCCATGGCCTGGCAAGCCTGGTTTGCGCCATAAACACCTTTGTTGCACTTCACACAGGTCCCTTTAAAAGAAAAGAAAAAAATGGTCAGATATAAATCCAAGACATCCAAGAAAGGAAGGAATGTTGGTTTGCTTAAGAATATATTTCGTTACTTTTACAGTCCCTCAGTGAAAAGCTGCTTTTGGTGCTATACACAGTAGATCCTGCGGGGAGGGCGGGATATAAATCTAATAAAATAAATAAATAAATAGATCAAGAACAGCTGCAAACAACAAATATTAAAGGAGAATGGGGAAAAAAGCCAGGAGTACAAATTCTTTAGCAACAGAGATATCAGCTGTAATATACATAGTGTGATTGGCAGGAGGCTGTCCTGCCCCAGAAGGGAAAAACAGCCACTCACCTGAGCCTATGGGAGCACTGTTCCAGAATTCAATCACCTTTCAGAAGGGCAATGAAATGTTGGAGGGAAGAACAGTGGCAGTCTTATTCAGGGATGAGCATGAACCGGCTGATGAACTTAAGTTTGTCACAAATTTTGGCTGGTTTGTGGTTTGCGAAGCGATGTTTACAAATTGAAGAACCATCAGGAACTTACACAAATTTTGGTGCAGTTTGTGGTGGTTTGTGAAGAGCAGAAAGCAGGAGCTCGGAGCCATTTAAACCAAACAGCTGAGAGGCACTCCCACCACTAGGCTGTTTGGAACCTCCTGTTTTCTGTGGGGAGCAGAAAGCAGGGGTTTAAACTTTAAATAGCTCACAAACCAAGTGGGTTTGCAAACCAACCTCCCAGTTTGTATGGGTTCATGGTTCAGTTTGTGGGTCAGCCATGAACCAAACCACAAAAATGTGATTCATGCCCATCCCTAGTCTTATTAGTTCAGGTCTGCCTCAGGAAGAACGCAGTCATAGTTTGGATCTGCCTCAGCAAAAGAGCAGACAAGTTTGAAGGGTAGCTCTGCCTGGTAGCTTGGCAGGGCTGTTTACCTGTAGGAGAGGATAGAGTACCCCGGCCGTTAGGTCTATCTCTGCTGATGAACAGACTGCGTACCATTTAGTCTGACTCTTGGGAAGGGCAGGCTGGTGTAGGTGGAATCCAGCCTTGTGGCTAGTCAGTAAAAGCCTGTTTGTATCTGAAAGCATTAAAGGAAATTTAAACCACACTCTGAAGCCCTAACTAGCTTAAATTTATGTGCCTCTGCGAGGTTCTTCTTTGACTCCTGGGAGACCTGTGCTGCTGATTTGTTCTTTGAAACCAACCTGTAAATAAATAAAACTTGTTTGTTATTTATATACAACTCCTGCCTGAGTGATCCCCCGTGTTCTACTTGCTCACCACAGAATTTACCTCATGGCAGCGAATCCAAAGCCTTTACACTTGCTACTTTAAGAACAGCTGGTAACTGAAGAGAAGGTTTAATTTCTAAAACAAACCTGGTCCCCCAACATCATAAGAGGCTGCGTGGGTCCCCTCAGCTGGTAGAAAAGGCCTGTCACAAATAGCAGCAGGTAAGACCTCAAGAAAAATAAAAGTGCAGAAAAACAGCCAGGAAAAAAAACACTTCTAATTACCAACAGCCAAGAAAATAAAATGTTTTCACTGGATGCCTAAAACTTAAAGTGCCATGGAAATAGCAGGGAGGAAGCTCCATAGGCATGATGTCCTTACATAAAAAGCTCCGTCCTTCACAGCCACTCCAGTCAGTGAATGGTGCACAGGAACCCAACACATATTAACTGTTCTTACTGCGGCTTTTTGTAAAATAGTTTCAACAAAGTGCATAAGAACTCCCATGTTCCCTTACGGAGCAGATAAACGCACACACTGTTGGAACCATGCAAGTATAATTTTAACAGATAAAACTGCTTTACTTTATCTGGAATGGGTTCTGTTAATTTTCTCTCCTCCCTGCCTTCCCCAGTGATGTGCACCAAGAAGAAAAAGATATTTCCTTGTGTAACACACTGGATACAAGCTGAATATTGCGCTAAACCCCCCCCAAAATTTCACCAGCTCCCCAAAGACTGAACCTGCTCAACAAAAACGTGACTTGGTTTGTCCTACCAAAGCACACAGTTATTCCTACAACCATCCCCATTTTGAAACCACACTAGGAAACATTCCACTAGTTCTACAGTTATTTTTTTTAACTTGCCCTACTGTATACAGAAGAACGGCGCATTTATTTATTTATTTGCTTCATATATACTCTGCCTTTCTCCACAATGGGGACCCAATTCTCCTCTCCTCCGTTTTACCCTCACAACAACCCTGTGAGGTAGGTTAGGCTAAGAATGTGCAACGGGGCCAAGGTCACTCAGGAAGCTTCCACGGCACAGTAGGGATTTGAACCTGGGTCTCCCAGATCCTCGTCTGACACTTGTCTCTAACCACTACATTTTCATCTGAAATCTCCAGTCTGAAAGCCCGAAAAGCACCAATATGAAGGGCTTAATTTCTCATGAGTTGTTCACAGACCTCAGATTATAGAAAGCACTCCCACGTACTACGCTGCTCCAAGACCTCCCTCAAAGCCCATCTCAACCAGCCATCAGCCAGAGAATGAACAGCCACAGGAAACATGCTGCCTTTTCCCTCTCTGCCAACAAGGGCACTTCTGTCCCAGCTGTCTAGATACCAGACCCGAGGAGGGAAGATACTCTGGCTTCTGCTAGGGGTCTAAGCACAACTGGGATGATGCAGTCTACCCAGGAAAAATACCACGACAAGGGACAGACCAGTCTGCCTCAACCATCAGGCAGAGAAACAGCAGCTTCAGAGTGTTTGCTTCCTCCGGCCCCCATCACTAGAAAGATTTCTGCTCTGCTAACTGCCCGGAGGTCCAAGGGCCACTGAACGATTGCTCTCCCATCCTTTCGTGAAGAACATCAGAAAGGAACACCAGGAAGCATTATTCCAGCATGATATAATGTTCAATTCATTCCGATGTTGTCAGACCAATTTCTCTCCTCTAGCTTTTCCTTCCACTTCTCCTTCCTTGTCTTGTCTTGTCGTTTGGAAGTCTGAGGGCAGAGGCCTGTGTCTCCAAACTGACGTGAGCTGTTTGGGGAGACTATTATGTTTGTAAGGTAAAGGTAAAGGTTCCCTTGCTCGAAAGCCAGTCAAATCCGACTCCAGGGTTGCGGTGCTCATCTCCGTATCAAAGCCGAAGAGCCAGCGCTGTCCAAAGACGTTTCCGTGGTCATGTGGCCAGCATGACTAAACACCAAGGCGCACGGAACGCTGTTTGTAAAGTGAGGTATAAATAGGTGAGATTGGATCCAGATGGTCTGTTCTGCTAGCAGTGGGATTTTCCTCTGATGGGACATCCTCATCTTGTCTCACACAATACTCCCTCTAAGCTGTGGAGTCTTGTGAGCAAAAATTCTACTTTGTGAGCTACTGGCATTAAAGTTGTGAGCTGGCGATTTGGCTGCTGCATAAATTATTTTGCTCTGGAGCCATCCTTCCTGAGCTAAGAAAAAAATATGTGAGCCGGAGGCTAAAGAACTGTGAGCTAGCTCACACTAACTCAGCTTAGAGGGAACACTGGTCTCACATAAACCCCGGGGGGAAGTTTTGTCTGTCAGTCTCTCACAAGCAAGAGATACCCCAAGGGTGCGGTCCCACGAGCCAGATAAAACAGGGGGGAAGCAAGGCTATTTCCTCCGGAGGAAATAGACCCAGAGTTGCACGATCACATCTCCCTTTGAAGCTGCAGGCACAGCCCGTCAGTGTGTGATCAGACGCAACTACAGGTGAGTTGTGGTTTGGATTTTTTTAAACAGTTTATTTATCATTTTTCATTACAAAACAGTAAACAAAATATACAATCAAGTCGTCATGGCGGGGTATTGGGAAAAGTTTTCAATTAGCAATAATCGCGCCTCGGATTAACCTCATTGGCTACGATACTGCCACTGCACAAAGCTAAAAAAAAATATACAATCTTTACAACACATTTTTTTTTTAGTTTTCCTTATATATTTTGCTTTATCCATCTATCTATTTTTTGCCATCTTTTTTTGAATATATTTTCTTCTTTTCCTGCTAGTATCATATTTATCTTATCCATTTCTTTTATTTCCAAAATTTTCATAGTTAATTCTTCTCTGTTTGGTATTCTATCTGATTTCCAACATTTCGCTATAAGTATTCTAGACATAGTCAATATATATAGTATCAAACATGAATCGTTATAATTTATCCCATCTGGTAACATATTGAGTAGATATACTTCTGGTTCTAACTTTAGATCTATTTCAGTTATTTCTAATATTACTTGTTTTATAGTTTTCCAAAATTTATTTATCTTTTCACATCTCCACCATATGTGATAATATGACCCAATGTTTTTTTTACATCTCCAACAATTCCCTGAACTGCTTTTATAGCACTTAGCGATCTTTTCAGGAGTCCAATACCACCTATAGCACATTTTAAAGATATTTTCTTTATATGCTGTGGCTCTTAATAATTTTGTTGATTTCCACATTTTTAACCATTTGTCTAAACTTATATTATGCCCCAAGTCTTTCATCCAGGCTTTCATATATGGTTTTATTATTTCCTCTTGCACCTCATTACTTAATAACTTCTGTATCATTTTGTCTGCTGATGACAGCCGTGAGTTGTGGTTTTTTGTGCCATTTGTTTCCCATGCGCTTAAACGAGGAATCAATGAACCGCATCTCCGCGCAGAGGGCTCCCTATGGAGTTTGCAATGACGCACATACAGAGAAGGGGGAAAAATGGCACAGAGTCGGGATGGCCTGATCAGACCATCCCAACGGTATGAGAGCACGCTGGAGCAATCAGACAGGGGAAAGTCCATCCGTGGCCTGTCGCAACCTGTTTACTACCAGATTTTCCCCGGTGTCTTTTAACTCCGCTTCTGTGGTGGAGCAAAACGGGTTGCCGATGGCTGCGGAGCCTTTCCCAGATGTTGTTGTCTGATCGCACCCTTTAAATCCCCCTGGCATTCACGCCTATGTCAGGTCTAATTGTGCGTATGATCACAGCCCAAAAGTGTGTGATTAACATGGAGCAGGCAACTAGT